CCATCCCCGCCTCTTCGACCTGTTTGTTTCCTCTCCACCTATCCTCTCCTCTATCCCTCTTCTATCCGCCTCCCACTCTCTCCCTATTTATTTCAAAACCCCCTTCCCCTCCCCCTTTTCTGATGAAGGGTCTAGGCCCGAAACGTCAGCCTCTCTGCTCCTATGATGCTGCTTGGCCTGCTGTGTTCATCCAGCCCTGCACCTTGTTGTCTCGGATTCTCCAGCATCTGCAGTTCCTACTATCTCTGATTCCCTCTAATCCATTTTCTGACCAGTCCACATCAGCAAGGCCAAAGGCAGCAAGCTTCAAGAATGTCACGGGGTTTTTCTTTCCTGATTTGTCTCATTTTTTTGTCTTTGAGTTCTTCTCCTGAAATTATTATTATGTGCAGTGATCTCAGGAAATGACTATTAGCCAGATATTCATCCTAAGGGGCATCACAGTGAGACAGAATTTTTTTTCCTCCTGAGGTCCCACATAAGTGCCTGTACAACACTAAGTACAGGATAGGTACTGACTGGAGATTTTAGTTGATTTTTCCTTTATCTAGCCTGTGGACATTGAAATATATGCTCCACCTGACTTAAATCAGTTAGCTCTGCGCAGACTAAGGACTAATCTGCAAGTAAGAAATGCAGTCCTGTTAGAGGGAATAGCTGTGTGTTCTTCTGCTTGTAAAAGAAAGAAAAGAATGTCATTTCTTACTATATGTACCTACTTGCCATATTTGGTGTCACCGACTACTAACTCTGGAGCTCTGTACCAGCGAGTGGCGACATATTCTGTGTAAGGCTCTCCTGGTGCAGCCAATGAACGGGCAAATCCAAAATCACATAGTTTAACAACACCAGACCCTGAGATCAGGACATTCTCAGGTTTGATATCGCGATGAATTATCTGGAGGAGAAATAATGCAGGAAAAATAGAATAAAATAATTTACACATTTTGTCCAAGTGACAAAGGATTCATTTAACTGCACACAGCCAGTTCAAATCACAATAGTGTTATTCAAACAACATACACTTTCATGGTACTAACGTGTCTAATGTATTGAACAGTAAAAAATAAATGGACTTGGTCATGTGCTGGTCATCTCACATTCAATCCCTGTGTATAACCATCAGCAGCCCACTTGGTAAAGCCCTCCCTCCTTAAGTAGTGAAAGGTTTGAGTTATAAAGAAAGGCTGGATAGGCTGGGACTTTTTTCACAGGAGCATAGAAGGTTGAGAGGTGACATTATAGAAGTTTACAAAATAATGAGGGGTATAGATAGAGTTAATGGTAGCTGTCTTTTCCCAAGGATGGGGGATTTCAACGCGAGGGGACACATTTTTAAGGTGAGAGGGGAGAGATTTAAAAAAGATATCAGGGGCAATTTTTTTTTACACAGAGCTTGGTCCATGTGTAGAATGAACTTCCTGAGGAAGACATTTGGATGAGTACATGAATAGGAGAGGTTTGGAGGGATATGAGCCAGTAGCAGGCAGGTAGGACTAGTTTATCTTGGGATTATGTTTGGCATGGACTGGTTGGACCAAAGGGACTGTTTCCATGCTGTATGACTCTGTGACTCTATGTATGTTTCCAACTGAACATGAGCAATTCTAAAGAGCTAGGAAGTTCACCCTAAGAAAATTTAAAGAAACGCTGTAATATAGCTAATGCCATCCATGGTTCAGATCATAGCTCTTGACCATGAATTAGAAGGTTGTGAAGCGAAATCCCACACCAGAGATGTGAGCACAAAATTTGGCTTGATACCCGAGTACTGAGGAATGCTGCACAGTCTTTTAGGTGCGATTTTAAATGCAATCTCACCTGCCTTTTTAGATGGTCATAAAAAGGTGCCATGGGATTTTTTGGAAGATGAAAAGCAATGAAAGCAAATGATAATAAATCATAAAATAGCGATTTGACTCCATACAAACAAATAGGAAATCTGAACCATCACAAGCCAACTCAAACCTAAACAACACATAGTGTTAACAATAAAACAAAACTGGAATTACAGTTATGTAAATATTGGTAATGAACTGATGAGCAGTAGGTACCAGCAATATCATAGGCAATAATGAATGAATGAATAAATTCATAAACTTGAAGGTAACTAACAGAATAATAAATTCATGAATGTGGCACAAGAACAAATAAATCATCAATTAATGGAAAGAAAACAATGAATCCATTAATTAATGCAACAGCAGGCATGGATAAACAAATGGATCATTAGATACATGGATGAATTACATAATAGGAAAACGAGCACCAGTGAATTTATGAAGTTACAGAGCTGTGAACATGGCAACAAATGAATAGATGGTGCATCATCAAATCAATAGATTAATTGAGCAGTTGTCACCAGTGAATCGTTATTTCATGCAACAGCAATCACAGCAATAACTCAGCAAATTATGAATAAAGTTTTGGAGCAACTGGTAACAGTGCATCAAAGTCACCCTTCCTATCTTTGCCATCAATGCTTCCTGCCCACACAATTTCTAACTGTCTTTTGCTGGCTTCACTGTCATTTTACTTTCCAAAACACTAGAAGCCATTATGAGAATTTTTAGTTTGCAAAACCCTACAAGCCTATGGATAAATATGTAGCATTTAAGTTTAAGATTCCTGCTTGAAAATTCAGTTGTGTTTGAGTGGAAGATGCCCAGAAAGGGTGAGTAAATAGAGGTACAGGTAGGTTTTTGAACATTCTAGCAAGCCTCTAGTGACCGAACAGTGGGTGTCTGCTTGGACACCTGAGCAAATTTGAGGGCAGCTTTATTTAATCCACTGACGGATTCAATTTCTTGAGGATCCTGTACCTAGGGAGTCCTCAAATGACTCTTAAATATCCTGTGAAATGACATAGCAAACTATTCAGTTGTATCGAACTGCAAAAAGTCTCAAATGAATGAATGGAATGAAACTGCATGGACCACCTGACACAACTGAAGCACCAGATATGACAATGGCAAGCTCATGCCCATTGACTCTGCCAAGTCCTCCTTACTAACATCTGGAGCTCAGAGCCAAAGTTGAGAGAATTCTCTCATGGTCTGGTCAAGCAATAGCTTGACATAGTCATCTCAAACCATAACTTACAAATATTATTCAAGACGCTACCATCATCATCCCTGGGTATGTCCTGTCCCACCAGCAGGACAGAACCAGAAGAGGTGGCACATTTGATCACTGTTTATCCACTTTGGCAGGAAGAATACAAGAGCTGAATATTATTTAAATGGAGAAAGACTGCAGAACCATACAGCAGACAGGGATTTGGGAACCCTTGTGCATCAATCACAAAAACTGAGTGTACAAATTCAGCAGGCAAAGGGAAAGCAAACGGAGTGTTGGCCTTTATTTCAAAGGGAATGCAGTACAAAAAACAAGGAGGTTTTGCTAAAACTGTACAAAGCACTAGTCACACTATAGCTGGAATACTGTGAACAGTTTTGTGCAAAATATCTAAGGAAAGAAATACTTGCATTGGAGGCAATCCAGAGAAGGTTTACTAGCTTTATCCTGGGTATGGAGAGATTTTCTTATGAGGAGAGGTTGAGTGGATTGGAACTTGTGTGCATTGGAGTTTAGAAGAATGAAAGGTGACCAGATTGAAATTATTCCCAGTAAAAAGCCTTGGCCTTGATTACTTCTTCTGATATTACCACTATCTCACAATCTCTCTGCATTGCTGAATTCCCATTTTGAAAAATGAAATACCATTTAAAACAAAATAAATTTTAAAATATAAGGCAAGTATGTTAATTCTTTCTACTTATCTCGTCCTTGCTGTCTCTCCGCCATCTTGTTCTCACTGTACTCGTGGTAGGGATTCTTTGATTCTACGATTAAATAGCCTTCCACTTGTTATACATTTTACTCCTTGATCTTCCCCCTCACTGAATTTCCCATTCCTCATCACTCCTCTTGCTGCTCCCTTTTATCCTATGCTACCCTATCAAAGTGTAAACAAAGGCACTGGAAATAAGTAGTTAGAGTGGCTTCAATCTTCAGGAGATAAACTACAAGCCAGAGATGTGATGGGATGGAAGGTCAATAGAATCTGGGAGGGTGAGGGAAAGGGTAAGGCCACAGGCCAGAGGGTCAGCAGTGACCAGAAAGGTCAGGAAGGCTGGAGAGTCAAAGAGCAGGAGAGACTGTGAGCCACAGGATCACTGAAAGGGAGGGCCAAGTTTTGGGAGAGGCTGCAAGCCAGAGTGTCACTGAGGGAAATAGTTAGGGGATGGGAAAGGTCAATCCAAATGGTTCCAATCAGGTCACATGACTTTACATCAGATCCAACATGAAACAACTTTAGAGCAAAGATTTCCTCATGCTAAATACCAATATAGGCACCATTAACAGATTGATGTTAAAACAGGGCCTGAATATATATAAACAATACATACGAAACAACGTATATTTATCAAATGCAGATGTGGGCAAAGTCACAAGCATTTCATGTTTAATTTTAAATGTCCTCAGTTGTTTTTACTCACGTTGTTCTTGTGAAGATACTCCGTGGCTCTTAATACCTGAATAAGACACTTTCTGAGCTTTTTACTCTCCAGTCCATTTGGAAACCGTTCCAAATCATCCAGAACAGTGTGATCCACAAACTCAAACACTAAGAATAAACGTTTCTTTTGCTTGAACACTTCGATAAGGTTTACCAGATTTTCATGCCTAAATTGCTGTCAGATGTTAAGTAATATGGATAGAAGAAAATTGTAATTATTCACAACGGAATCTTGCATTTTGCATTAAAAAGAACAATTAAAAGTAGACTAATTCTTCATTCTAAGAGGCATTGATTTGAACAGGAATGTGAGAAAAGAGCATCAGAATTGGAGGAAAGAAAATTCAAGGGGACATATCACCTCCAGCTGGTTTACATGTTCCACAGGATCAAACAATCCAACTCACGGTTGGGTTAGATCGCTGCACCAATCTGTCATTAAGGCATGTTATCGTATATCTCTAGCGCAGGTGCGACATGAACCCAGAGCTTCCAATCCAGAGGTAAGGAGCTGCTGAATGCTCCAGGAGGCAATTATTCACAATCAACTAGTTTGACATGTTATATCACACATCTGGGGTAGGTGGGATGAGATCACAGACCTTCTGACCCAGAGGTAAGGACATTTCCAGTTAGTTTTTTTTTAGACATTTCCTAATCAAGTTATTCAGAAATGTTGTTAAACACCTCTGGAGCAGGCCTTGAACCCAGGCCTCCTAACTCAGAAGTAGAGACACACCACTGCACCATAAAAGCCCTATGATCTTCCCTTTCAGATATTTCCTAATCAATCTGTACAGAGATGCTATTACACACCTGTGTAGCAGGTGGGATTTGAAACCAGACCTTCAGGCCCAGAGGTAGGAACACTACCACTGTGTCACATGAGCCCTAGATTCTTCCTTTTCCTCTGAAAGTAGGGGCTATTTTATCAACAAAGGTCAATTTGCAATACTCAATGAGAAGTGGCAATTGTCTTAGCAAGATGTTGTTTATTGCATGAAAGCAATAAATACGAGTTATGTTAGCCAGTTATACATAATAACCATGACTATCAGGAGATGCTGACAATGTGTCCATCTCCGTTGGGGTCTCAAGCAAGACTCCTATTTTGCCCAACCAAGAGTGTGTGCTGAGCTCTTCTGTTAAATCGTTCTTTCAAGAAATATATTTGTTCTCAGATCGAAGCAATTACCAAAACCCAAAAGAAATTACTTATAGGTATTTGTGTCTTTTACTGTATTTTAGTAATTTTTAATACAATCAGCAATAAGTCACATTAAATACAATTGTGTGTTTACTTGTTCAGCGTGCAATTTTGTATTTAGTCTTGAAGCAATTTATTAGGAGCTGTTTTTCTGTTCCAAGATGTCCAAGCTTGCATTTGGCTCATCTCTGACATTAAATCTTGCACGTACGGTAAGGCTGAAGCTTCGCACCAATCTTCAGCCACAAATGGATGATTCATCTCAGCCTCCGCCAGTGGTCGCCAGTGTCACAAAAGCCAATCCTCAGCAAATTCGATTCACTCCCACATGATATCAAGAAATGGTTGAAGGCACTAGATACTGCAAAGGCTATGGGCCCTGACAACATTCCGCCAATAATACCGAAGACTTGAGCTCTAGAACTTGCATCTCCCCTAGCCAAACTGGCCCAGTAGAGCTACAACACTGGTGTCTACCCAACAATGTAGAAAATTGCCCAGGTATGTCCTGTATACAAAGAGCAGGACAAATCCAACCTGGCCAATTACCACTCCATCAGTCTATTCTCAATCATCAATAAAGTGATGGAAGGTGTCATCAACAGTGTTATCAAGCAGCACCTGCTCAGCAATAATCTGCTCAGTGACGCCCAGTTTGGGTTCCGCCAGGGCCACTTAGCTTCTGACCTCATTACAGCCTTGGTCAAACATGTACAAAAGTGTTCATCTCCAGAGGTGGTGAGAGTGACAGTCCTTGCCTTCAAGACTGTATTCAACTGACAGTGGCATTAAGAGGCCCTAGTAAACCTGGAATCAATGAGTTTCGGGGCCAAACTCTCCACTGGTTGGAGGCATACCTGGCACATTGGAAGGTGGTTGTGGTTGTTTGAGGTCAGTCTTCTCAGTTCCATAGCATCTCTGCAGGAGTTCAACCAGGATAGTGTCTGAGACCCAATGATCTTCAGCTGCTTCATCAACGACCTTCCCTCCATCATAAGGTCAGAAGTGCGGATGTTTGCCGATGATTATACAATTTTCGGCACCATTCACGACTCAGATACTGAAGCAGTCCATGTTCAAGCGCAACAAGATCTGAACAATATCCAGGCTTGGGCTGACCAGTGGAGCCTTACAAATGCCGGACAATGACCATCTCTAATAAGAGACAATCTAACCACCAACCCTTGACATTCAATGGTGTTACCATCACTGACTCCCCCATTATCAACATCCTGGGGGTTACCATTGACCAGAACTCAACTGGACTCACCAAAAAAGCATGGTGGCTACAAGAGCAGGTCAAAGACTAGGGATACTGCAGTGAGTAACTCACCTCTTGACTACCCAAAGCCTGTCTACCATCTACAAGTCAGCAGTGTGATGGAATACTCCCCACCTGACTGGATGGGTGCAGCTCCAACAATGCTCAAACAGATTGACACCATCCAGACAAAGCAGCCTATTTTATTAGCATCACATCCGCAAGCATCCACTCCTTCCACCACTGACGCTTTGTAACAGCAGTGTGCACTATCTACAAGATGCACTCCAGAAATGCAGAAGCTTCACATTGCATATTGTGGTAATGCGTTTATTTTCTTCTAATACATTTAAATTTTGTATTACGACAATGCTACATCTCTGTACTGTTTAATAGGGCTCATCCCACCTTTTTATGGCCAAAATGGAAGTTTTCCCACTCTCTACAGTCAAGATGAAAGTTTTTAATTTTTTCACAGGCAAAATAGATACATTCCCACCCTTACTGGCTTAAAATATAGCATATGTTCCTTTTCACAATTTTACAAATAAAGCTTTCTGTCCTGACTAAATCTTCCTGTTAAAACCATGGTTTAAATTATTAATGTCTCATTCTTATCCAAGCCTTAAGTCTTTTAATCCTTTCTTCTGTTGGAATCTGTCTTCTCTATATTTTAAACTGCTCCTTTATCACATTAATTTGCACCGTTGGATTTCCAATGCTGCATACTGAATATAAATTAAATCCACAGCCCTACACATTGTGATTGTAGCCCTGCCTTGTGGTGTGCACTTGCAATGGCATTGATGCTCATCATGAATGGTCAATTAACTTCTATCTTTCCTAGAGTGATCCTTTGTACTGTTAATTTGAAGTTCTTCCCCTTGCTGCTCAGGGATTTTTAACTTTACAAATGGAGCTCTGAAATGGTCACTTACCAGCTGTGTCTCAAATTGGGACTACCCCTACAGATCTATCTTCTCATGGCTCTGTAACTGCCGAGTTTGACCAGGGTTTTAAGCCCTTACTAGCTCACACTACTTCCTTGTGCTCCTTACCATGTCTGAAGTGAAGGTTTTAACCTGAAGAGCTGTTTCTGCCTCGTTTTTTTCCAGAGTTACGATGACTATTCAAGCATTTGCAACTGCTAATTGTCTTAGTGTTCTTAAAGCAGCAAAGCATTTAAAGCGTAAATTCAATTTCCTTCAGAAGAGTTTTTTTGCCTCAATCTGATGGATTTTCTTCATTGTTGTTACCTTGTGGGTATTTAAACAATGATCCCAGTGATGATCAGCATATTGTATGTAAGTCTGAGCCAACCACTACCAGCTAACAGTTGGTATTAGTTGGTTATTATCACAAATCCTCCTTTTTAAGTATTTTTAATCAATCTGTTTTGACACCTACAGGACAGGTGGGACTTGAACCTGTACCTTCCGGCCTAGAGGTAGGACTGTGCCACAACAGCCTTTAATTATTTTAATCAACAGTTCAGACATGGAATGACATATCTCTGGAGTAGGTGGGACTATTAACTCAGGCCTCCTGGCTCAGCAGTAGGGCCACTATCACTGTGCTACCATAGCCCTTCCTAATGCTATTTTTACTTGTACTGAACCTAAGGGCCCATTCCGTTAACAATGGTAGAGTATGAACAACTTGTGAGACTTAATGAAAAGACGTACTTATCTTAACAAGGTATAGTTTAATGTATGGTAGCAATAGGTGTAAGTTACATTAGCTAAACATAATAAATAAGGCTATCAAGACACAGTGATGACACATCTGTCTCCATCGGATCTCTAGCTCTATTCCTCTCTACCCGGTCAACACTGTATGACATCATCAGATTGGGTGAAGATTACTACAGTCCCCAACATTAATCCTTTCAAAACCATTACCTTATACACGAAAAAGCTGTCTCATCGAGGTGCCTGCTCAGCATAAGATGCAACCACTATGCTCGTCAGTCTTCCAGCCAAGGTGCTGAGAAGTTCACCAGGACACAGTTTACATTTACCTGAAATGGAGTGTACACCCCTTCTCCTCATGGACAACTCCCTCTTTCTGAATTTCAGAGAGCTTAGATGCAGATTTGCAACAGCCCAGGTTTAGGTTGACTGAGTTCTAATTCACCATCATCATCCATGTCACCTTAGAGTGTACCCCAAGATGGATAGTCAATTATTGATGTTTATCAAAAGTCAAGAATATTTTGAGATCTGCCTAGACAGACAATATCATGAACCCCTCACAAATCACATAGCCAAGCATACCAAGTTGATGAACAAGTTTAAAATGTTGACATGATCTGTAAAGAGTTGACCACTGAAAAAGCAACTTACAACTGAATAAATATTTATGGCCAACTGCATCAATAATATTATCTTTTTTATTTCTTTGGACCTCGCAGCTTTTATGATTGATTGACCTCGGTTTCCACAGTTTACATTGTATTTCTCTGAAAATGAATACCTAATGACCTCAACTGATATATTGGTGTATGCAAATTACAATGATAGTACAATGGAAGATGAGCTTAATAATTCTTATGGTGCAGTAACACATAATAATTGTTTTATTTATAAGGAATAACAGGACACAATGTGCACTTGCAGTGTTTTCCAGTTTTGCAAACTAATTCTATGGTTTAGGCCAAATACTTTAAAGAGATCAAAGAACTTTACACTTTCAAGAGGCTGTTTGACCCACCATATCTATGCTGAACAATCTAAACTTAATCACACTGTTCCATTCTTTTTCAATTTCCTTTTGTTTTCTTGTTTCAAGTATTTGCACTGTTTTTTTTCCCTTAAAACATGCAATTATCCATGTCTCAACAATGGTGTATGAATAAATTCCTTCTAACTTCTCTCCTCAGTGACAATTTTATCCTGTTGCAGCCTTGACCACCTCTTGAAAAACCAGACAAACTAATCCTTCCCAACTCTGCTCTCTGACTCTGCAACTCATTCCAAATATTTTACACCTTGGCAACATTAGAGTTATTGATATCAGAGGAATCTACGAGCACACATAAACAACTTCCAAGCCTTTCTGGCATAAATTCATCTGAAAATATCCTCAGCTAAAATGCTGATTAATTATACCTGGAAGACAATACATAAGCCACCATTAAATATGAAGGCATTGTCACTGTCTTCAAGAACACTTTTGGGCATGACCTATAAACTGACCAACACTGGTTCCATCAGTTGAGATACAAGGGTTCAGCATCAGCTGCTCACGGTTCAATTCTCATCGCCAACCTCCTGATAACACCTCTATCTCCAAGTGTCAGACTTGCCTCCTCAGTCATATGACAGACATCCACCTTTAGTGTGGGAGATAGACCAATAGAGAACAGTGTAGTGGTCATCACATTGATCTTCATAATGTCCTTGTCCAATGCCAGATACCATACTTAGGTTTCATCAGTTGTGTAGCTGAATGTTTAAGAGGTTTTTACAAGGTCACATATCTATTGTGAAGCTGATACATTTTCTACAATTCTTAGAGAGTTGTCAGAGTGGACGTGTTATAGGTTGAGATTCCAAGAAACACAAATCTGTCCTCAGCAGCAGAGTTAATTTAAGAATTCATCCCAATTATTTCCCTTCCCTAGGCCAAAGAAGTAACGAATATTGGAACATCCATGAATTAATCCCAGCAGATATTTAGGAACATGGACCAAAAGCTAAATCTAGGATATTCCTGTTGTAAATGACTTTATATAAAGACAATGGTAGATTTATCCACTATTACATTTGGGAAATCTCATTTCCTTTTTAATAAATCCACCCCAACATCTTAAATGAAATTTCCCCCCGCAAATTAATAATAATTCATGCTCTTACCTTCAGAAATCGTATTTCTCTTACAGCAATTTTCTTTACCAGTCGGTCATCTTCTCGTTCTTGAAATCTTTTGATTGCAACTATTTGTCCTGTCTCTCTGTGCCTACATTTCATTACTGATCCATAAGTGCCCTCTCCCACTAGTCCTAAATTCTCATACATCTCCATTCCGAGGTTTGTTTTTTAACCTGCATCAAAATGTATCACATTTTACTATTAAGAGTTCTGGACTATATTCTGTTAAAATGTATGGAAAATGCATTTCATTAATGATATGTTATTCCCAATTCTTTCAATGAAATCAAATTATAATAAAGCGGATGTGAAGTTGAATTGGATCATGCTCGTGCACACTGTTAAAAACTTGGAGGTGACATTTGCATCTACAATTCACTCCATACTGAATTACTAAGCCCAGCTGTTATCTAAGTTCAGCACTGAAGCAGAAGCAAATGTTTCTCCAGGAGGACAAAGTAAAATTGGTAGAAGCAGAAGAATATATCTTTCATTGCATTATGGGCTGAGGAGTGTTTAAAACAGCTTTAATTATTGACTTTCTTTTTCCATCTTTGAAGGACAGACATTGCTCAGGACGACAACTCACAGAAATTGATAGGCTGTCTTGTGTTTCTCACTGCTCTCGGGTGTGAATGCCTTTATTGAGGCTGGTGGCCAAAAATGAACAGAATATTCAATGAAATCTGACCATACTATGTACGATATCATGTGACTCTTGCTTCTCTGCTTTTGTGATATAATTCAACATTTTATTTGTGATGTTGATTTTTGTACTGGAGCAATTAAACAAATGGAAAAACTCTTTGACAGGTCCATGTTATAAAGCATTAATGACATTGGTATGTGTTAACTGTTGCTATTTCAAGCTACAGTTAACATTTCAATCCAAAGGTTGGCTTGATAGTGTCTGACATCTTATTTTAGCAATCCATTGGGATTGGAATGCCAGTGAACGTGTTGGATTCTGAGAGTTACTATGACAGAGGAAGCTATCCCAAAGATGTTAATGTACAACAAGCTATTTAAATACAGAATTTAAAATCTTTTATTTTTATTTCTTTAACATAACTCTGGCACTTTCATCATATCATCTTATGCAGAATTGTAGCTTCCAAATTAATTCGTCATTCAGATTGAAATGCTGATGAATTTATCATTCTGAGTCAAAGCATCAGTGTGATTCTCATTTAAAAGAAGAGGAATAATGATTTTGGAGCACGGCAAAGAAAAGATAAGACTAAGTTCAAAAGTGGACAACAAAAGTTAGGTGTGGTACAGAGAAGCAACAATTTGCTCTTGCAGATAAGGTTTAAATATTGGATATTTGAGTACTCCTTACATTGCATAACAGTGTTTACAGTTCAAAAGTACTCCTTTGCTAGTAATTTGAGATAGCTTTAATTTGTGAAAGGTGCCACAGAAATGCAAGCCCTTCCTCCCTTCTATGAATGGGAACTTTGGATTTGTGGTTATGAGGGTAGTAGTGTTAATTGATAGATGACCATTGACAAAGATACTGCAGGAAGAATAAAAACTTCCCTGCGCGTCTTCAAAACAGTACCATGGAAATCTTTCCTACCGACATCAGGTTAATCTCTTATCTGAATGATGAAGCTTCCAGCATTGCTGCACACTATTGGCCTATATTTTTGCACTAAAATCTCTGGAATACAACCCTCAGATTCACAATCAAGTGTGCTAATCCATGGCTGAAAGTATTGGACATAACATATTGCACAACACATTATAGGGGTTCCTAGGGGTCTGTTTCCTAGAATGATGCTGAAACCCAGAAACTATCTACTGCAAAAAACTGTAAAATGTAACAGAGGTGATATAGACAGGCTGGCCAGTGGGGAGAACAGTGGTGAATAGAATTTAATGCTGAAAAGTGTAAAGAGATGCATTTTGGGAGGACTAAAAAAGCAAGGGAGTACATGCTAAATGGTAGGACCTTGGAAACACAGAATATCAGAGGGACCTTGGTCCTTGAAGGCAGCAGGACAGGCAGATAAGGTCGATAAAAAGGCATATGGGATAGTGGGTCTAATTCCTAGAATGATGCTGAAACTGAGAAAATGTCAGGGGCAAAAAACTGTAAAATGCGTGTTAGAAATAAATCACAGCAGCTTGATGTTTTGTAATGAAAGTCTTAATAACAACACATACTCAGGGCATAACTGACCAGAGCTGGTGAACATAAAATCACACATGTAAAAAAAACCTCTCATCTGCATGTGCCTCCTACTCATTTTTCAATTAAGATTCCTGTGTCCACATTTATAATGGAAACTTATGTAAGCTTTGCACACTGTAAATTAGTATCCAGCAATGGAGGTGCTGTAGATATAATAAAGCACATTGACAGAGTCAGTTCCATAATAAATATGGTTAAAGAGATCTATAATGGAAATATAACAGTGACAAAACATATGACTAATATATGTTCGAAATTATATTGCCCACCCTGTTCTAACTATCTTGCATCCTCCAGCTCCACTTCATCTGAGGAATATTTTTGGTATTGAATCTATGAAATCCCACAACAGTTTTACTAAGCCCTTCTTCATATAACAGTAAGAAAATTTAATATTTTAATTTAGTTGCTACATTGCAACAGTGTCAATACTGGCATGCTGATGGCATTCCCAGCACTGACCTCCAGATTCACACGTGGTTGCTGTGCACAGGCTTTGGAGGTCTGCAGAGGAAAGAATTGTAGGGAGTGCAGTTCAGAAGTACTCCAATTCAGAAATTCAGTGATTGTGAAAGGCACTGGTGTCACAAATTATGTATTTTCTAAGATAGAGTTATGGAGTTAAAGAGCTTTTCCAGGACATAAAGAGGCCCTTTGGCCATTGTATCTGAACCAGTCACCAAGCATCAACCTATTCTAATCGCATTTTCCAGCACTTGGCCCATTGACTTATATACATTGGTGTCGCAAGTGTTATAATAGTTATTAAATATTTTGAAGGTTTCTGCATCTAACATGCTTTTAGGCTTTGAGTTCAAGACCCTTATAGGTGAAATAAAAATTCCTCAAATCCCCTCGAAACTTCCTGCTTCTTGCATTAAAATTGAGGCCCTGGTTATCAACCCTTCTACTAAGGGAAACATTTTTCCCTAATTTCCCTGTTTCTGGCCCTCACAACTTTGTGCACCTCAATCAGGTCTCCCCTCAGACTTCTCTGCTCTCAGGAAGAACAACTGTCTAATCTCGCTTCATAACCGAATCACTCCAACCCAGGCAACATCCTTGTGAATCTCATCTGCATCTTCTCTACAGCAATCACATTCTTCCTACAACGTGGTGATCAGAACTACATGCAGTACTCCAGCTGTGGCCTAATATTATATACAGCTCCATCATAAATTCTTTGCTCTTGCATTCAATTGACTAATAAAGGCAAATATCCCACATGCCTTCTTAAAAACCTTACCTACTTGTCCTGCTGCCATCAATGATCTATGGACATGCACACCAAGGTCACCCTCATCCTCTGTACTTATAAGGTCCTACTAGTCAACATCTACTCCCTTGCCAAACTGTCCTCTCAAAATTCATCAACTCTCATGTTTCAGAATTAAATTCCATTTGCCATTGTTCAGCTCATCTGATCAACCTGTCCACATCATCCTGTAGTCAAAGGCATTTCTCCCTGATAATTATTGCACCAATTTTTCTGTCATCTATGAACTTACCCCCCCCACCCCATATCTCCTACATTTGTGTCTAGACCATTAATGTACACAACGAACAGCAAGAGATTAGCACAGAACCCTGTGGTCTACAACTACAAAAAAACTTTCAGTCACAAAAATACTATTTGATCATCACCCTCTGCTTCTGCCACTAACTAATTTTGGCTCCAATTTTCAAACTTGCCCTGGATTCTATAGATTCTTAATTTCTTAACCAGCCTGCCAGGCAAGGCCTTATGAAAGGTCTTAATCAAGTCCGTATAGATTAGATCAGCTACACTATCCTCATCTACTCACCTAGTTACCTCCTTGAAAAATTTAAATTTGTTAGACATGACCCCTCCCCCCTTACAAACTATGCTGACTATTCCTGAGTAATCCCTGCCTCTACAAGTGGGGTTTAATGCTGTGTCTCAGAACATTTTCCAATAGCTTCCCTACCTCAGATGTTAGACTCACTGCCCTGAAACTTCTTGGCTTATCCTTATCACCCTCTTGGATAATGGTACCACATTAGCTGTCCTCCAGTCATCTACCATTCCTCATGTGCCAGAGAGGATTTGAAAATTAATGTCAGTCACTGCAATCTCCTTCTTTGCCTCCCATATCAGCCTGGGATACATCTCATCTGGGCCTGGGGATTCATCCACATTCTAACCTGCCGAAACCACTAATTCCTCCTCCTTCTCAATTTGTTCAAGTATATCACGGTCTCTCTGCTTGATTTCTCCATCTATAACATGCTCCTTTACAGTGAATACAGATGTGGAGTATTCAGTTATATCTTCCAGGTCCATACACAGATTGTCACTTTGGTCCCTGATCAGCCCTACTCTTTCCCTGGTTATTGTCTTGCCTCTAATATACTTACAAATTCCTTAATGTTAAATACCAATGTTTTTTCGTGTCACCTCTTCACTTTCACCATTTCTTTTCTAAGTAATCCCCCATCTACCATACTTTCTACTGTTAAAACTCACTGGGGTAATGTGGTTAAAACTGAGCCCCACTATTCCCAGAGTCATCACAAAAGCTAAAGCTTCTATGAAGTACGCAAAATTTCGCCAATTTACCTGACTTTCAGTACCAGATTGATAGAAAGCATGGACCAGGTTTCTATACGAATTATTTATTATGAACTATTTATTACAAGTAAGTAGACTATAGTTACAGATAAAGAGTTTAAAAAAAAAACATTGGCATAGATCTCTACTAATTAGAATGTTAAAATCCATTTATATATTCCCCCTTACACACACAAACAGACGGGCTAAAATAGATTATGGCCATAGGGAAGGTCTGGAAAGACAGTTTGGTAGTCTTTATTCCAGATTCTGTGGCTGAGATGATCCTTTGATTCTTCTGCCGCCAGTACTTTGCTTCAGTCATTTTTCTCCAGTTGCTTCCACTGGTTGGTGAGAGACATAAGGTTGCTGATTCATTCTTAACAAGTGTCTGACTTATCAGTTAAAATCCACAGCAGGAAGATAAACTGCTATTGTTGGGGTTTATTGTGACTTGTGACTGCGGAGAACAAAGAGATCACTCCCAAGCTGGGAAGAAACTGAACACTTTCCAGCTCCAAACTGTTCAGTTACCTGAGAAGTTGTTGGCAAGCAAAACAGTCTCCGTCATTGATAACTGTCACTAGTCCATAAACAAATCAATTTCTTGCTACTAGTTGCATTTGTACACCTTCTCTGCAAACACTCTTTCAAATGCTGAGTTTTAAAATAACTCTTTCTCTTTCAGCCACTTTTTTTTAGAAAAAATAAAAAGACACAGTCCTTACATTATGCTCCCCTAGGGCATCCACTGTTTTGAAACTTTAGCATCTCCCATAAGCTTCCTCTTTTTCATTATCCAATCATCTGACATCTAACATTTTCTGCAGTTGTTGGTCCCATTCTTTTTCACCTTTTTGAGAATATGTTGGCTCTGCACTCTCTCTATTACCCTTTTGAATATCTCCTCGTGCACTGATATGGATTTTCTTGCAAATGGCTGCTCTCAGCCCACTTTGGCCAGATCCCATTTTATCTTATTAAACCAGCCTTTTCTTAATTCAGAACCTTTACTTCCAATCCATCTTTGTCCATAATCACCTTAAACTGATTATTGGTCATCATCACTGAAATGCTCCCCCATCATTGCAGGCCTGGCTTCATTCCCTGAAATTAGGTCCAGGACTGCTGTCTCTTTCTTGCAGGCCTTTCCACGTGCTGGTCAAAAAAGCTTTCCTGCACACTTCTTAAGAAATCTGCTTCCTCTGAGCCTTTCATATTTTGCCTATCCCAGTTAATATCAGGAAAGCTGAAGTCCCCTATTATTACCCTATTATTTTTACACTGCCCTGGGATTTGCTGACATATCTGTGTTTCTATCTCTCCTTGACTGTTTGGGGGTCTAACATACACCCCTAATAAAGTAATTGCTCCCTTGTATTTTATAAAATTCTACCCATATGGCCTCATTAAGGTATTATCCCTCCTTACTGCAGTAAAAACCCTTGCTCAATATTGCGACACCACCTCCTCTTTTACAGCCCCCTGTATTTTGCCAAAAGATTCTATTCCCCAGAATAGTGAGTTGTTAGTCCTGTTCCCCTCTCAACCATATTTCCATGACAGCAGGATATCACATCCCCATGTATTAGTCAACATCCTCAAACCATCTGCTTTATTTGCGAGACTCCTTGAATTAAAATAAATACCATTCCAGCCTTACTATGCACCCTTGAGCCCTAAATTGACTATATTCACACTACTTCTAGACTGTCTTAGCTTTTATACTATACTTGTCTGTACGTCACCCACTATTGTGTCTCCATCTTGTATCCTATCTCCCTGTCAATTGAGTTTGAACTTCCACCAACTGCATTAGCTAATTTCCCAGCAAGGATTTGGGGTCCCATTCCAGTTCAGGTCCAAGCTGTCGAACTCATGCAGGTCCCACCTTCTCCAGAAACAAACCCCAGTGAACCAGAAACCTAAGGCCCTCCCTTCTGCTCCAACTCTTCCTCCACACATTCATCTGTCCTGTCCATCAATTCCTATACTCATTAGATGGCTAGGTTCTAAATAGTCTCTTTCAATTCAAGATAAAAGGGACCAGTTTGGCGAGGAAGCTACAACCTCTGATGAAATAAGCCCAAAGGCAAACCCATCCCCAATTTAAGTGTACCAGAGAAAAACCATGTGACCTACATTTGTAGGGACAGAAACTCAAAACAAAACTCATTGACAGTAGACAAAGGATGTGGAAGCAGGTCTTGTCATGCTCAAACTCACACTCTAAATATTAGTCAGAGTTTAGGGGAAGAAGACTGGAAACAGGTGTTACATGCCAGATATGAAGTAAGGACAATTTGTGGGTTAACCACCAAGCAGAGGACAGAAGCTGATGAGGACAGATTCTCTGTTCAAAGAAATAAAGCTTATGTAGATAAAAGACCAAGCAGTCAGGACTTGGTACCTTACTGCTGGAAGACCATTTGATTATGCTCAAAAGATTTGGTTCAGAAACTTTGTTTAAAATAACATATGAGATTTACCCTGGGTGGACAGCTGCAGATATCCAATTAAAGCCAGAAGGAGCTTCAGAATTTAAACACAAGGGTAACTTTAAGCTGAGAGTACAATGTACTGTATTGACATGACACAAGATTGTTGGCTGTGTTCAGAGGTTAATGGGGAATACCTTTTCTGAAGTTTAGTGTATTAGTTTAAGAGTCTTAAAACCTGAAATGTTGTGTGACTCCCCTGTGTCAGCCAATTGAAATATTTACTGCTTTTTAAAAGTTGTTAGTTTTTACGGTGATTTTAACAATATGTAAATGCAAATCTTGCTTTATGAATTAACTAGATTTTCAAAGTTTGGGAAGTAGAGGGATTGGAGATTACCACTCCTCTGCAATACAGATGCTATAGTGTGAAAAGAATACAGCAAATGCTGGAAATCCAGATTCCAAACGTTGCTTGATTTCTCTCCATGAATGCTGCCTGACACGCTGTGATCTCCAGCATTGTTCGTTTTTAGTTGGAAATACTAAACCTGTCAGACATTAAGTCGTGTTTTTCTCTGCACAAATGCTACCTTATCTCCTGAGACCCTACGGAATCGTTTAAATGAATAAATTCTTGCTAATTCCCTTAAATATATATTATTATTTTAAGAGACCTTCCCACAAAACCTACCTATGTAAGAATGAGTACAATTATTGAAAATCGAGAGTGGGCTTAAGGTGTTCAGGCACATCCATCCTGCGTCGTTGAACTTGTTTTATTTTTGGCGTAATCACTCTTTTAGCAAAGAAAATCCATTCGGTTGATGGCCAGAGACTGCAATATTGTTCTGCTTTCAATCTGACCGGAGGTCAACGTTACACTTATTCAAGAGGCACGTGTTAGTCCCACAGCCATCGTTCCTGCTGTGAATGGTTTTGATCTCGTCCTTTCTGTTCTCAAAGTGTCAATAACAGGGCTGTCCACCGCTCCCATAGCAACTCGCTCGGTTACTACAAACAATAGAACTTTGACTTCTCGGCCATGAGTATAGAACGCGGAACCGAGGAGGAAGGCACAAGGCGATGATTCATTTCAAATTGTCTTCCCCGGCGCTCTGCTTTCTAGACTTTACCTTCTTCAGGAAAGATGGAAGCTAGACAATGTATTTCCCTAACAAATGGAGAATGCTGGAGAGACTCGCCAGGCTGACAACAGCTGTGGAGAGAGAAACAGAGTTTACGTTTCAAGTCCGGCGTGACTTCTTCAAAGTGTGTTTCCTTGTTTTGCTTTGCAGGCAGGCTTTCAGAGTTAACCCTCAGGAAGAGGATCGGGAGTTTAAAATCACTCATTCAACTTTTGTTTGAGTTGGAAAACGTGCCCTGTATGTTCCTCGAAATGTTTAAACATCTATTGCACAAAAACAGAAGTTGCTGGAAAAGCTCAGCAGGTCTGGCAGCATCTGTGAAGAAAAATCAGGGTTAACGTTTCGGGTCTGGTGACCCTTCCTCAGAACCGGATCCGAAACGTTAACTCTGATTTTTCATCACAGATGCTGCTAGACCGGCTGAGTTTAACCAGCAACTTCTGTTTTTGGTCCTGATTTACATCATCCACAGCTCTTTCGGTCCCCATCTATCGCGTTTGTTGCTCCTCATAAATGTCAGCACAGACTTCACAAGCCCTCCTGTGCGGATTTATTTTTAAAATTACAGTCTGAATAAAACTAACCACGGATAAAGTGAGCGTACTTTGCTTGTCTTCTAAATTTAACAGATATTGTCTACTCCGATTAAAGGGCAAGAACTACCCGATACTTGATGTTTGTTCATATTGGGCATTCCCTCTGCACCTCTTACCTGCCTCTATCAACTTCAAATGACATGTCTTTGTCCTCCAACGCAATGTCTCAACAGACTCGAACATTTTTCACTTTTACAATATGGAAATCACTGGGCATTTAGAGTCATAGACTTGTACAGCACAGAAACAAACCCTTTGGTCCAACTCATCTTAAATTAATCTAGTCTCATTTGCCAGCATTTGGCCCATATCCCTCTAAATCCTTCCTATTCATATACCCATCCAGATGCCTTTAAATGTCGTAATTGTACCAACCTCCACCATTTTCTCTGGCAGCTCATTCCATACAGGTAACACCTTCTATGTGAAAATGTTGCCCCTTAGGTCCTTTTAAATCTTTCCCTTCTCACCTTAAATCTATGCCCTCTAGTTTTGGACTTCCCCACCCTTGAGAAAAGACCTTGGCTATTCACCCTATCCATGCCCCTCATGATTTTATAAACTTCTATATAAAGTTACTCTAACGCCCAGGGAAAATGGCCCAGCCTAATCAGCCTTTCCTTATCGTTCAAACCCGCCAATGCTGGTAACATCCTTTTCAATAGTAGGGAGACCAGAACTGAATGCAGTATTCCAAATGTAGCCTAACAGATGTCCTGTACAGCTGCAACATGATCTCCCAACTCCTATACTCAGCGCACTGACCAATAAAGGCAAGCATACCAAATGCCTTCTTCACTACCCTGTCTATGTGCGACTCCACTTTCAAGGAACTATGAGCCTGCACTCCGAGGTTTCTTTGTTCAGCAACACTCCCCAGGACCTTACCATTAAGCGTATAGGTGTTGCCCTGATGCTTTTCCAAAATGCAGCACCTCACATTTATCTAAATTAAACTCCATCAGTCACTCTTCGGCCCATTGGCCCAACTGATCAAGGTCCCGTTTTACTCTGAGATATCCTTCTTCACTGTTCACTACGCTTCCTATTATGGTGTAATCTACAAACTTACTAACCATACCTCCTATGTTCACATCCAAGTCATTCATTTAATGACAAAGAGCAGTGGACCCAGCACCAATCCTTGTGGCACACCGCTCGTCACAGGCCTCCAGTTTGAAAAGTAACCCTCCACCATCACCCTCTGTCTTTTATCTTCCAGCCAGTTCTGTATCCAACTGGCTAGTTCTCCCTGTATTCTACGTGATCTAACCTTGCTAACCAGTCTACCATGTGGAACCTTGTTGAACACCTTACTGAAGTCCATATAGATCACATCCACTGCTTTGCCCTCATCAATCTTCTTCATTATGTCTTCAAAACGTCAATCAAGTTGGTTAGACATGATTCCCCACGCTCAAAGCCATGTTGACTGTCCTTACTCAGTCTTGTTCAATTAAGTTGCTTCCACAATTCAAGGTAGACATGTGAATCTTATTTAATCTTCTACAGTATGTCTATAATACAGAATTTTATTTAATATTTATTCTCTTCAACCTGGCTCTTTCAAACAAACAGTATTAATAATTGTGTCCATCCTACAGATAAAATACTCCTTCAGTTGAGGAACCAACAGCTCTGACTATTGCAGGGAATATTACTAACAACATGCTCCAGTTCCAAGTCAAATACAAACTGCGCAGATGGACCTTAAAGGTCTACTAGCCTCATGAATAAAATAATCAGAGCAGCATAATGTACAAACACAATCTGGCTCCATTTCCCATGTACTATTTTCAGCTCCTTCATTAAAGACCTCAATTGTATATCTCTGTAATATTGCCTATTATACATCCTGTAAAATGTGGCACGGTGACTCAATGGTGAGCACTGCTGCCTCACAATGCCAGGAACCAGGTTTGATGCCAGCCTTGGGTGAGTGCCTGTGTGGAGTGAACATGCTCTTCCTGTGTCTGTGATAACAAGGTGTAGAGCTGGATGAACTCAGCAGGCCAGGCAGCATCAAAGGAGCAGGAAAGCTGACGTTTTGGGTCTGGACCCTTCTTCAGAAATAGGGGAGGGGAAGGGGACTCTGAAATAAATATAGAGGGGGGGAGGCAATGATGGAAGGTGGATAGAGGAGCAGATAGGTGGAGAGAAGACGGACAGGTCAAGGAGGCGGGGATGGAGCCAGTAAAGGTGAGTGTAGGTAGGGAGTTGGGATGGGTGTTGGTCAGTGAGGTGGGAGGAGTGGATAGGTGGGAGAAAAGACAGACAGGTAAAGGAGGCAGGGACGAGCTGGGCTGGTCTTGAGATGAGGTCGGGGGACCTTCCATCATCGCCTCCCCCTCTCTCTATTTATTTCAGAGTCCCCTTCCCCTCCACCATTTCTGAAGAAGGGTCCAGACCCGAAACGTCAGCCATCCTGCTCCTCTGATGCTGCCTGACCTGCTGTGTTCATCCATCTCTACACCTTGTTATCTCAGAGTCCAGCATGGGCAGTTGCTACTATCTCCTTCCTGTGTCTGTGTTGGCTTCCGCCAGGTGATCTGGTTTTCTCCCACAGTCCAATGATGCGCAGGATTGCCCATGCTAAATTGCTCTGTAGTATCCAGGAATGTGCAGGCTAGGTGGATTGGCCAGGGTAAATACAGGGTAGGGGGCTGAATTTGGGTGGGATGCACTTTGAAGGGTCAGTGCAGATGATGGGCTGAATGGCCTCTTTTTACACTCTTTTACACTCAGAATGGTTCTGAGGAAGGGTCACCAGACCCAAAACATTAACTCTTCTTTCCTTCACAGATGCTGCTAGATCTGCTGAGTTTTCCAGCAACTTTGTTTTTGTTCCTGATTTACAGCATCCGCAGTTCTTTCGGTTTTTAGAAAATCCTGTAATATTTGTGACATTCATAAATGATGTTGATGAGAATGTGGGTTTGAATGCTAAATAAGTTTATGAATGAGGCAAAGATTGGGTGGGGTGGTTGACAGTGAGAAGGAGGAGAAAAGTGTTAGGATAAAGAAAGATACAAACGGATTAGTCAAATGGGCAGATCAGTGGCTGATGGAATTTAACTCTGAAATACGTGAGGTGATGTACTTTGGAAGGAGTAACAGGAGAAAAGAGAACACAAATTATGAAGACAGGATGTATAAGCTTGGGTTTCTTGCTTCGGAGCTGAGAAGGTTTAAGAAGAGCTGATGCAGGTTTATACTATTTTGAGCAGCATGGGCAAGTTGAATACAAATCAGCCTTTCCCCTTAGTCAAAGGGTCAAGAACCATGGGGCACAAAGTTAAAATGAAAGTAGAGAAAGGATTTGAGGAATTTGTCTTTCAGCCAGAGGGTGGTGGGGGTCTGGAATGCACTGCTTAAGAGGGTATTTGACACGGGTAACCTCACAACCTAGCACTTGACGGTTCAGACTCGACGGGCCGAAAGCCTCTTCTGTACTGTATGATTCTGCGAGTTCCTTCCATTCTCTCCAAGCAACTGCCACTGTTTAACTGCTGCAAAATTATCGCCAGCACAGACGCAGCAGACTGCAGCGAATACATTTAACGATCCTCACTCCATCCAAACATGACCACCTCGGGTTCTCACACTGTACAAGATCTCCCTCCTACCTCCAACCGGGAGAACAGAGAGCTTCAACGCCGCCTCACAGCTTTGGCCCCGGACACGCCCACTCCCACCCTCCCATGACGATGCTCCGCACCACTTCCACCCCTCCCCAACCCAAACAACCAGGCACCCTCCCACTATTCCTCAACTGCTTTTCTGATGAAGGGTCTAGGCCCGAAACGTCAGCCTTTCTGCTCCTACGATGCTGTTTGGCCTGCTGTGTTCATCCAGCTCTGCACTTTGTTGTCTCCGATTCCTCAACTGCCCAGCTCCTCAAGCTGAGGCTACGCCCACCCCACCCGCCTCCCGTTGCCAGGTAACGTCCCACTGTCCTCCGACGTCTCAATTGCGTCAGAAGTTGGGAATATTCCACGAAATGACGGGGCGGGGAAAAATGATCCCTTCCTCACCAGAACCATTAGAACACATGCTACAGTGAAGTATAACCCGTGCAACGACTTCTGCAGACACGGGAAAGAGCAAAGAGCTGATAATTGTCTCATAATCAACGTTGCCCTCCACCCCCTGCAAAGGTCAAAGTGCCGCTATATCCTTTTTCTCTTCGACCTGTGCTGCGTCACTCAGCTTTTGGGTTATGATTGGATATAGTTCGACATAGGCCAGTTCCGATTGGTTTATTGGGCGTAAGCTGTGATTGGCTGTGGCCGGCGACATCTCGGAAAAATGATTGGCCATTTGTAACCGTACCGGGCTAGTAAATGGTCTCTTAATTGGACGACAGCGTCAGTACCGGGCTGATGACAGGCCAATGGTGTCATTGTCGGATTGGTGATTGGTCGACCGTTTCAGTGCCGGTCTGGCGATTGGTTGTTGTGTTCAGTACTGGCCTCATGATTGGTTGAGTGCGTCAGTGCCAGGCTGATGATTGGTTGATGCGCGCCGGTACAGTGGGGAGTGGAAGGGTGGGCAGGGAGGTTGCTGTTTACCGGGAGCGGGCCGTCGGAGGGAGTGGAGGCGAGAGGAAAGAAAAAGAGGGGAAGACGTTGTGTCTCCTCCGCCACCGCCAAGTGGAGCTCGCGGTCAAACTTGGGGATAGCCGCGTTTCTTTTTGTTGCTGTGAATCTGGAATCGTTAACCGCGAATTAAGTGACTTTGCTACGGCTTGACTTATCGTCGCTATGTCCACCCCGGCGAGGCGGCGGCTGATGAGAGACTTCAAAAGGTGAACACACCCACACACACAAATATCCCAAAGGAATCGTGGGGTGGGGGGTGGTGAGTTTGTCTAAGTCTCTAACTCGTTGTTATTCAATCTGGGTGTTGTGTCTGCCAGGCCTGTGGTGTCGATAAAGCTCAGTCAGGTAGCTCGTCTGCAGAGGTCGGTCAAAGTAAATGTGAATAGGCCTTCGGTACTGTTAGGGCTTGGAGTGCAGCAACCGTGAGACGGTGCAGTGTGTCCGCCTATATGCCTATGGCAGTTTCGAGTGCTGGGGAAGTACTATGTGTGTCAGCCAACAATGATATTGCTGGCTGTTAGTGTCTTGTTTCCCCTGCGAAAGTAAATCTTCCTCGAACACAAGGATAGATTCCTATAAGCAAGTGTGAGTTTTGTGTATTAGTTAATACGATAGACTTACTATGGATTTAGCAAGTTATTCCTTAAAATTGGAGCAACACTACAAGTGCTGTTATAGAGCTCCCTCTGATGTCACTTTGATGTTATTTTAGGGCAACGTGTCTAACACTTGGGTACTTCATCTGCCTCCCACCACAAATTTTCTCTCCCAGATGAATGACTGTCCAGATGCTGCCAACTCTATTGCATTAAATAGGTGGACATCCCTCATGAGTGAGCATGAACAATATGTGCTGGCACAGTTCTGCCTTGCACCTTCCAACAAGGGTTACTAGTAATTCTGTGTTGTGGCTTTGGACATCCTGAGATCATTAAGGATGCTGTATAAATCCAGGTTGTCCCAAATCTTTAAGTGTAAATGCTTTTTCAGCACAGCTCATTGAACCTTGCTGATCAGACTGGATAATGTATTCAGTGATTCACACCAGAATTCCACTTTGTTAGTCATTGCTTTATAACTTCAATTGTCCACCTATCCAACAGCTTATAACCAAAAGTACCTTGGTATCATTTAGTTTGCCCACATTTGGAAATAAAACATTTGAATTAAATTACTGCATGTTTTCACAGTTTGTGGACACAGTGCACCAAGCAGAGGTATATAGAAACAGTGAATTGGAGGGCCCATTAGCAAGTAGGTTAAAGATGCTGAAGGTTCTATCTTGAGTGGAATAGAGGAAGGGGGATATACAAGGAAATCAAATTATGCATGCAAGAGTGAATGTGAAGTCAGGGATTGTTGTAGCGATAATGTGAGATTACTGAGTGCTTTGTAGATGACTCAGGATATTAAATTATAACCTCTGCTGTGTTAGTTTAAGCAGCATCCTGAAGGATTAGACCCAATTTTTTTCTGTCCTCTGAGCCTTGGATCACCTTTATCACAAAGATGCCATAAAATGTTAAAATGTATTTCACTTTTTGTCTTGGCTAAGGTGCATGTGCAGGAACTATTCACAAACTTTCATCATATTTTGTGTCTGTCCTATATTAAAGACGCTGTTGAATCAGGAATTACTTTGTATTTTAAAAATGTTGTCTAACATATTTTTAAAAAGTCTTCTCGTCAGCTTATCCAAGGACTTTTGAAGAATCCAAGACACGCATGGTGACTTTTTAAGATGCATATTCATTTATGATGCATGTCCACAAGCTATTTGACAGTATAAGATATTGACCATGTAATCCTTCCTTTGTCCAGTATCCAGATCTGTGCTTCCATCAGATTTAACACTAGAGTCACCAAGTATTGACATGACCCTTTTTTTTAAAAACTTCTACGCTTGTTACTCTTTCCTTTTATCAATTACTTTTTCAACTGAGTGCAAACTGGGAGATTGAATCTATGATTTTTCTTTATGCTGCTGCCTTGTCTTCAGCCATCTGATGAGCCTGTATGCTGACATGTTAATAGGAGCAATTGTCTGTAAATTAGTTATGTATTAGTTATTAATTCTGTATTTTTAGAATTATTAAAAGTGCTGTAATCCAGAGAAGTAAGCTAAAGTTACAGCTTTGTAGGGCAGTAAGGTATCGGTTTTTGTCCAAACAACTGCTTTGGCCGCCTTACATCTCTTGTTCTATACAATGTTTGGGAGGGAAATAATGAGGAAATAGTCATCAAGCAGTCCCTGATGGCCAATGGCTCACGCAGACTTCTATATTCTGCCCAGGACCCCACCTGACTACAGTTTCAACATGTCCCAGGAAGAGTAATAATACATGAAGGAAGTTGGAGGATAGTATGTATCTTCAGGAGAAGTTTCTGTTGGGGATACACTGAGGGATGTTGTTGGAACAGAGGTGTATCAGAGTTGGAAATGTTAGACAATCTAACTTGGGTTTCTTGCAATGCAAGACCTCATTTGCAGTTTCTGATGGGGCAACACCA